TTTCTTGGATTATGAATCTGGTGTTCGATATTGAATGAGAATTGGGGTGGCATATTTATAGGGATGAAACTGGTGAGAAGTGTTCTGGATTTTGCTTGGATGTAATTGAAAGTGTTAATTAGGTTAACTTCCTTTGACCAAGTAGATTTATTTAGAATCCTTTTATTTTTCTTGGTGTGCCCTGATAAAGATTAGTTAGATAAGAGGCCACCCATCTTCTGAAAAGTTAGGGTGATTTAGCATGTTAGGTGTAACAAGAAAAGGCAGCTGGGCTTCTAAGGAGATGAACTCTGCTAGATTATTATTACTTATTTTTTTTTGGGATTCAGCTGCGTGTAGAATGATTTAGTTCAATCTGAACTTTACATGAGATTCATCATCTGGAAATTCGATGGAAGATAAGTCTCTCATCGAACTTGAATTAAAATTTGAAGACAAAAACTTTACATATAGCTAAACTAGTCAATTCGTTTCATATGATACTCCTATTCATTAATTGTTTGTGGTATTCCAGGAATATACGTTATGTATACTCTTCGCTAATGAACGGATTTTGGCCTCTTTGAGGAAAGGATCTAAAGATTTTTTTTTTTTTTTTTTTTTGGGTTAATGAGCAATCTGTCAGTGTCTTCATTGTGAAACTTTAACATTAGTAGAATGGANCATTTTCAATAGGCCAGTCTGCTTTTTGTTGTAGTTGGAGAAGTACTTAAAGATGTTTGAGGTAAATTTGGCCAAAACTAGTATTTTTGCTCCCTGGTAACATGAGATATAATCAAATAGAATCTAACTTACACCTGAATATGGCATATACAGTGATTCAGATTGCAATAATGTTTCCCTCTACTATGCAATACAGTATAATTGAATTCTTAAACAACCCAAAACTAAGGGGAACTAATGCAAAAGTTAAAAGTAGTACTGAATTATATTGCCAATACATATAAAAGAATTGTGAATCCTATCTTAATGGTGAAGTTGGCAAGCTGATTAATACTGGTGCCAAGCACTACTGTAATGGATGGAAATCGCTAGAGGGAATGTTTGAGGTGAAGTGACCTGCATTGATTTCTGGTATGGGCAAGCATGGAAGGGCTGCACACGAGTCGAGCGTCTTGCGAGCCGCTCGCGAGCGTTCGAGTCAAAGCTCGGCTCGAGCACGAACTCGAGTCGAGCTCGAGCCCATATTTTACATTGTCGAGCAGCTCGAGATATATAATAAATTACTAAAATACCCATTGTATATATATGTATCATAATATTAATATATGTACTTAATGGTAATTTGACAAAGTTGCTTGAAAATTTCGAGCCGAGCTCGAGCATTTTGAATTCGAGTCGACGGCTCGAGCTATTGTATTTTTTTATCGAGTCAAGCTCGAGCCTAAAAAATCAAGCTCGAGCAGATAAAACTTTGCAGCCCTAGGCATGGTGACCAGTGCTGTGAGTTAACTTTCTCATTTTTTAAATTATTTATTTGGTAATATTTTACATAAAGTTTTCTATAATTCTTTATTTATTATAAAGCATATTGGAACATGTTGGGCATTTTCTATAACAACTATTAACGAAGCCAATAATGAGATCCAGAAGCTTTGTGATTGTCCTGGGGCTAATTACCTAATCTCTTATTGTGGTTTTTGCATTTTTCATTACTTATTTGATTCAGAATTATACAAAATTTGTGAATCTTCCTCGTGTTGTTTTACTTCAGAATTTTGTGAAAGGAAACTGGTCTTTTAAAGTGAATATGGTTATTGAATGCAGTTTCATGCCTTTTAAATTGAGGCCATCAGGGAGGTCATGATAATGGAAAAGACTAATGTTATGTTCACTTTTAAAGTTGACTTTTAACTGGGCACAGACTTTGGAAGAAGCTCCAAATAAGCAACAACTATTGTGCCTATGATATTGTGTTTTACAGTCTTTGATCTGAAATTTTTTTGTTTGTGTTTGGGATTTTGGTTTTCTGACCTATTGTAACCTGAGGATCTTCTACTGCTATACTTACACTTACAGTGGATATACATTCTGTATAAGCACTGAAGTGTATCAATCCAGCAACAGGAGGCCTTGTACAAGTTTGTTAATAACTGTTTCACTATTATGAGTTTGTTATTAAAATTTTTCTATTGTCCTTTAGCTGACTTCTTTATCTCCCTATAATATTGGTAAATGCAAATTGCTGTTTGCTGCAGTGAAACTATCATGATCTGAAATTATGAAATAACTTTTTATTATTCTACACTTGACATTGAGGTCTTGTAATTAACTTTTTAATTGCTTATTTACCTTGTCTCAGGCTTGATATTCCATTCCAGTAACAGATGAAGTTGCGCAAGGTGATATGAGAAATTAAACAAATGGCATAATTGATTCGCAAGAGAAAACATATAACTTAATACAACGTACATCGATGCAAAGATTACAACACAAAGTGAATTGAACTACTGCAAGCTCCGATAAAACACAACACAGCAGCACACAACAATGCAATCATAAAATACAATCATTTGCCGAAGTGAAACGACAAAGCAGTCGAATGATGACGTGGCACAAACTAGTTCGAAGGCGGTGATGAGGCAAAAGGAAGAGATGGAATTGTAGTCGGGAGGTTAGGGAAAGAAGGCATAGTAGGAAGTGAGGCTGCAAGCTGTGGAGGCAGAGCCATTTTGGGAATGGCAGTAGGAAGTGTCGGCAATGTTGGCAACTGAGGAAGGGATGGATTTGTTGGTAGTGTAGGCAATGGGATGGTGGGAAGTGGTAGTGTGGGCTTAGGCAGTGAAGGGATTATGGGCTGTGCCGGTTGAGAAGTTTGCAACAGGTTGCGGGCCCCCCAGCTGGCGTGGAGGTTCGAGATTGATATTACCATGAGTAAAGGTAAAACAAGGTAAGACTTTGAGGCTGCCATTGGTTGATGAATCTGTGGGTTTGGATAACTTCCTTTCTTTTTCCTTTTTTTTTTCCTATTTTTTTTTTCTTTTTGTTTCTTGGATAAAGATTAGATGGATGAGAGGCTAACTATCTTCTGAAAAGTTATGGTGATTTAGGATTTTAGGTGTAACAAGAAAATGCAGCTGGTCTTCTGAGGAAGTGAACTCTGCTAGATTATTTATTTATTTATTTATTTTGGGAATCAGTAGCATGTGGCATAATTTAGTTCAAACTGAAACTCTGCTGATTCATTCGTGTCGTATGAAATGGGAATTCTTTGTGCTATTCCAGGAATATATGTAATGTGTTCTCTCTCAAAGTTGCTCCAGTCGCGAAATCAATTCCATAATATTGTGGCAATTAGGTTTCCAGTGTGTTCACCTAGCAGGGGCGCCATTTCATATGTTCTATTGTTTTGAATTTTTTTAGCTGGTGAAAAAAAGTTAATAGAATTATTATTATTATTATTATTATTATTATTTAAGATGTGAAATAAGAATTACAATTAATTGTAATGTCATGAAATTGAGATAACAAGAGCAATGTAGCTTTTACACAGAAAAAAGACATAAATGTCCAATTTTTCAACTCAATGCCACCAAACAACCATACTGCAGCTACCTTATCATCGACACTAAGACTACTGTTAAATATGCCTAATATGGCTAATGATTAGACAATTATATTTTTTTAACAAATATACATACTAAAAAAAAAACAAATAAAAGAATGACATTTCGTTATGTAAGTATACATTTTGTTATGAAGGTATGCAGGCTGGCCTGCCTAATGATTACACTGCCTTACACAAAAATTTGTGTATCATCAAATGCCGGTCAACTACAGCTTACAAGTATATGAACTTGAAGAATGTAATGCATAAGAAATAAGAGAAATATTTAGGCAACTGAAATTTTGAAACAGGGAAGAGCACACAGTATGACTCAATAACAATGTGGAGTCACCGCTAGAGAGCCCCAACATGACCGTAAGTAATCACAGAAAACAGCAAACACTTAAACAAAGTTGTAGCGACATTGTCCTTTCAGATATGGAATACCGTGAAACCAGCAGATTATGTAAATTGCGCAAGAAATTGCTCTAAAATTGTAAAATATGTTCGCTGAAGGATATGAATTTCAGAGTGGAACATTGTAGATGGACAAAACTCAAATCATGTTATAGGGTTCTAATCCATTATGTAAGAGAAACAGGATACACACTTAGAATATGCATGCCACAGTACCAATTCTAATTTAGCCTGCTTGCAAGTTCTAATTAGAGAAAACTCCAAGGCAAATGTATTGATGGAAATCATCTATTATGCAAAACATTGAAGACAAAATGCCAGACAAAATGCAATAGTGACACGAGTTCAAGAGAATCATAAAAAATGGAAAATAATAGCATAAACTATTTAACAAAAAGGAACCCACAGTTAGGACCTCTACAATTGCCTTAACAACATTCAACAACTTTTTGATTGACGATAAAACCAAACTCAAGTGGCAGCTACGCCAGAATACCGATATCAATCTATCCTGTTTACAGAAAAACAATCAAGAAGACCAAACCCAAAAAAATGAAACCACAACCACCAATATTCCTGCAACAATGAACAAAAAGGAAGCAGCCTACCTCAGCCATCTCAGTCCCTAATCGACTATGAATCAAAACTGAAAACTTTACCATATAGTCCTCAATTCGCTAAACATTTGAAAGCTCACGCTCCTCATCACTCAAGTCGAAATCACACTGCAGACCATGCAACACGTCATCATCCCCCTCGAAGAACTCCACCCCACTCGCAATCGCAACACCATTGCTCACTTCACCTTCAATCCCAAGCTCCAACTCCTCTTCACTGTTTTCAGTCGCATTCGAATCCCCAGTTTCACCAGATCCATAAATCAAGTTAGCCTGATTTTCATCAATCCCCACTCCTCTTCCCATCAGCTTCTTCGAGTTCCACAGCACAGATTTTTTCCTCCTCGTTCTCCCCTCCTTCACACCACTCTCCATGAACCCAATCTCATTCCCACTCATAAACCCTTCACCGTTTAAATCTTTCATTTCGCCATTTTCAAATTTCTCCCTTTCACCACGGTTGAGATCAGTACCAACTGTTCCAATACCTTCAGTTGGCGGCATCTCATCATCATAAACATTAATCGCAGCCCCTTCTCCATTACTAGCAGCATTTTGATCTCCCACCTTACTACTCAACCCTACTACCCGAGGCTCAAATGGGCCCCACAATTTCTCCACGACTTTCCCACCACCACCACCACCAGAAAACCCCAAAGGCACAAACCCGGTACACAAGTACTGGCCCTTCTCCACCAAGTCTGGCGGCGGTGGGGGCCCACCGATAGCCACCGCCTGCATCACCCTTTTGCACTTCTCGTTCGAACACCTAACACAACACTCCTTATAAATCCCCTCGAATTCGTACACGTAATAGCAATAAGGGCAAATCGTCCAGAACGTACCAGCATCATTCCCTGACGTACAATTGCCGTGTCTGCTGCCACCATCAGAAGCGGTACACAAGTACTGGCCCTTCTCCACCACGTCTGGTGGCGGCGGGGGCCCATCGATAGCCACCGCGTGCATCACCCTTCTGCACTTCTTGTTCGAACACCTCACACAACAATCCTGATAAATCCCCTCGAATTCGTACACGTAATAGCAATAAGGGCAAATCGTCCAGAATGTACCAGCATCATTCCCTGACGTACAATTGCCGCGTAGACCGCCACCATCCGAAGCGGACAGGCTCGTCCTCAGCTCCTCGTCGAACCTGGCCCTCTCTTCAGGGTTAGACAGCACGGACCACGCCGTCAGAATCAGTCGCAAGGCCTCGTCCGCGAACGGGTAGGGGTTCACGCTGGGGTTCAGATTGGAGGCTAGGGTTCTGAAACTGTCCCGGATACGAACGGCGTCGGGCTCGAAATGCGGGAGGCTGAGGACGGCGTAGTAGTCGTGACGGGCCGGGGATATGGCCGGGGCGGAGAGGACGGTGGCCACGGCGAGGATCGCGGTTGGGGTGGGGTGGGTCGTGTCGGAGTCGCGTGCGCGGAGGGCGTAGTTCCGGCAGTCGGAGAAGTTGCGGTCACGGAGGAAGTAATTGGCGGCGGAGAGGAGACGGTGGGTTGCCGGGCTGGTCTCGGTCGGACCCGGTGGCCAATGGTGCGTACCCATTTTTGTGCGCAGAGGAAATAGTGTGTGAATTGGGATAGTGGACAAAAGCGGGAGCGGTGTACGATTTTGTTACTTGGGCTGCAATTTTTTTTTTTCTTTTGTGGGCTCCACATTAAAATTGCAGTTTGGCGTTTTGTCCACGTGTTTAAAAAAAAAACGAAGAATTAATCGAATTCAAAGCATGACCTGCACGACTATTATTCATGTCCTTTTATAAGTTATTATCAAGGTTTTGAAAATAGAGCAGGTTTATGTTTTTAATTATGGTAAAAGCAGATTTAATTAAAGCTATAATTACCACGATTCTCCTTCTTTATTCATTTTCTCTCTCTCTCATCTTCTTCTTGCCTTTGTTCTCCTTCTCCCACCGCCCTTTCGCCGCTCCATCTCCGTCTCGGATCTGTTAAGAACCAATTTTTGACCACATTTACGTTCATAACCCACTCCTCATTTCTGATCGTGCGCCTCCCCTGTCCCCTCAACTCCTCAAAGGCTCAAACCCTAATCGCCCAAACTTCACAAAAAATCGCCTCGGTCCTCCGCCCGTTCGCTGCCATCCGCCCTCGCCGTGCGCCTCCGTCGTGCACTCAGTCTCCCCCGCCACCATCTCTCAGTCTCTCAATTGCGCCGTGCCTTTGCCATTTCGAAAGGTTCATCACGACGGATTTCAGACGTGTCTTGGTCGCACCGCACCATCCGCCCTCCCCGTGCGCCGCCGTCGGACACTAAATCACCGCCCCCCACGCTAGTCTCAATCAACGTTGCCCCCCCCCACACTCAGTATCTCCCCGTTAGTCAAGGTATTCTGATTTGGGACTTTCAGTCTTTCACACTTGTTGTTTGTGACATCGGTTATATGAACACTCCAACCTTTTGATGATTTTTATGTTCTACCATGGTTACTGACTCTGAAATATTTGATTTGGTTTTGGAATTTATCTGTTCTATATGGTTACTAACACAATAATTATAATTAAAACAGATTTTAAAAAGAATAGCGGAAATTGACTTATGTGGTATGTTTGTTTTCTTATTGTCACTTATGTCAACACAATAATTATAATTCATTTGACTATACAGGATCACCATGGGGTTGGTGTTTTGTATCTGTTGATGATGGCACCGCGAAGAAGAGGTGCACATAGTTCGGGTCCACAACCAAATACCGTGCACAAGTTGAACGTTCGTTTATTGTAGTATATGTTGCGTGTATAGACAGTATATGTTCACGACAATATATATTGCGTGAATAGGCAGACAGTATAGATTGCGTGTATAGGCAGTGAATAGACAGACAGTATAGATTGCATGTATAGGCAATATATGTTCAGTATATGTTATGTGTATAGGCAGTAGGCAGTATATATTATGTGTATAGACAATATATGTATAGTTTATAGTATGCATTTCTTTTGATGTTTTTTTTTTTGCAATAAGTAGCTTGTTACAATTTGTATATAAACTATGTATATACTTTTATGATTTTTTTCATTGATTTGTTGTGTATATGTATGGTTTATCTTTTAGTAAAATTGTTTACAAAGTATAAAAGTAAAATAAAGAATACGCAAACCCAAAATATACTATAAAATATTCAAAAACTGATTTAAAATAAGAATAAACTGAATTTCTTTTGTTGTGTATATGTATGATTTATATACATACTACATTCATCATATAATGAATGAAAATCATCATAGGCGACTCCATCTACAAAAATATCAAAAACATATACCTTTAATCTAAAAAAAAAAATGATACATAACAGAAGGAATGTGGAAACTGGCTTTCAAATTGGTGATAAACCAGAAATAAGACTTGTTACGTAATTCACATATTTTTGTTTATTCAAATTCATATAAAATTATTTTTTGAAAGACATTTATTTATTTATTTTTTATACTAACCGTTAATCTTTTAAAAAGATTTTATTTACTCGTTACCACGTTTAGGAAATCCCGTAACTGACGGAACTAAAGCTGGGAGAGCTTTTATTTGGTGAGGTTTTTGAGATTGGGTGTGATGCTAATTAAAATGCTAAAGATTCGTCTATATCCTAATAATATTGCAACCTCGTATATTCACAATAAAATAGCAAAAGTTATGTTGTTATGTAAATGACCCTTTTTTTAATTTTTTATCACAATAATGCTAATACTGGGGTAAACACTAAATACAACGATGTCTATTCTGGTGGGTTTAAAATTGGCCCAATTGAGCTCATCACACTTCATGGCCCACTTCTTATCCAACACAAGCAGCAACCATGGTTATTACTCGATGATATAAGACATACAGTTTTGACTTAAAAAAAATTACATGTTATTGGAAACTTTTATTTTGTAGCCACCCTTGTATTGTAGCCACTTTCACGAAATTCTTACTTTCACAGGTTTAGCTACTCCTTCCACCTGAGTGAATCTTTTAGCCGTTCCTTGTCATAGGCTATCAAAATAACATCAGATATCTAACTAAAGAAGTAAAAAGATAATAAAGAAAGGTTAACCAAAAATAAAAAATAAAAAAAATAAAATAAACATCAAGAAATTTGCACACAATATCTCTAGAATCTAAGTTAGTTTGCCTTTAGAAAGATAAAA